AAAATCCTCAATTCAAGATTTTGGCCGATTTCAAGATCTTAGCTTTCCGAAATCCAGAATTAAAGATTTTAGCTTTGCAAAATCATGAAATCAAGATTTTGGCCGATTTCAAGATTTTAGCTTTCCAAAATCCTGAATTTAAGATTTTGGCCGATTTCAAGATTTCAGTTTTCCAAAATCCTGAATTGAAGATTTTGGTTTATATCAAGATGTTAGCTTTCCAAAATCCTGAATTCAAGATTTAAATTGATATCAAGATTTTAGTTTTTAAAAATCCTGTATTCAACATTTTGGCCTATTTCAAGATTTTAGCTTTCCAAAATCCTGAATTCCAGATTTTGGCCAATTTCAAGATTTTTGCTTTCCAAAATCCTGAATTCAAGATTTTGGCCGATTTCCAGATATTGGCCGATTTCAAGGATTTTAGCTTTGAAAAAGCCTGAATACAACGTTTTTGCCGATTTCAAGATTTTACCTTCCCAAAATCCTGACTTCAAGTTTTTTGCCGATTTGAAGATTTTAGCTTTCCAAAATCCTGACTTCAAGATTTAAGGCGATTTCAAGATTTAAGCTTTCCAAAATCTTGAATTCAAGATTTTGGCCGAATTCAAGATTTTAGTTTTCCAAAATCGTGAATTTAAGATTTTAGCCGATTTCAAGATTCTAGCTTTCCAAAATCCTGTATTCAAGATTTTGGCCGAAGTCAAGCTTTTAGCTTTCAAAAATCCTGAATTTAAGAATTTGGCCGATTTCAAGATTTCAGTTTTCCAAAATCCTGAATTGAAGATTTTGGTTTATTTCAAGATGTTAGCTTTCCAAAATCCTGAATTCAAGATTTAAATTGATATCAAGATTTTAGTTTTTAAAAATCCTGTATTCAACATTTTGGCGTATTTCAAGATTTTAGCTTTCCATAATCCTGAATTCCAGATTTTGGCCAATTTCAAGATTTTACCTTCCCAAAATCCTGACTTCAAGTTTTTTGCCGATTTGAAGATTTTAGCTTTCCAAAATCCTGAATTCAAGATTTAAGGCGATTTCAAGATTTAAGCTTTCCAAAATCCTGAATTCAAGATTTTGGCCGAATTCAAGATTTTAGTTTTCCAAAATCGTGAATTTAAGATTTTAGCCGATTTAAAGATTTTAGCTTTCCAAAAATACTGAATTCAAGATTTCACTCGATTTCAAGATTTTAGCTTTCGAAAATCATGAATTCAAAATTTTGGCTCATTTCAAGATTTTTAGCTTTCCTAAATTCTGAATTCAAGATTTAAGCCGATTTCAAGATTTTAGCTTTCCAAAAATACTGAATTCAAGATTTCACTCGATTTCAAGATTTTAGCTTTCGAAAATCCTGAATTCAAAATTTTGGCTCATTTCAAGATTTTAGTTTTCCTAAATCCTGTATTAAATATTTTGGCCGATTTCAAGATTTTAGCTTTCCAAAATCCTTAATTCAAGGGTTTGGCCGATTTGAAGATTTTAGCTTTCCAAAATCCAGAATTAAAGATATTAGCTTTGCAAACTCCTGAAATCAAGATTTTGGCCGATTTCAAGATTTTAGCTTTCCAAAATGCTGAATTCAAGATATTGGCCGAATTCAAGATTTTAGCTTTCGAAAATCCTGATTTCAAGATTTTAGCTTTCCAAAATCCTGAACTCAAGATTTTCGTTGCTTTCAAAAGATTTTAGCTTTCCAAAATCCTAAATTGAAGATCTTTACCGATTTCAAGATTTTACCTTTCTAAAATCCTAAATTCAAGATTTAGGCCGATTTCAAGAATTAACTTTCCAAAATCCTGAATTCAAGATTTTGGCCGATTTCAACATTTTAGTTTTGCAACATCCTGAATTCAAGATTTTGGCCGATTTCAAGATTTTAGCTTTGCAAAATCGTCAATTCAAGACTTTTCCCGATTTCAAGATTTTAGCTTTCGAAAATTCTGAATTGAAGATTTTCGCCCATTTCAAAATTTTAGCATCCAAAATCCTGAATTCAAGATTTTAGCTTTTGAAAATCCTTAATGTAAGATTTTGGCCGATTTCAAGATTTAAGCTTTCCAAAATCCTGAATTCAAGATTTTGGGCGATTTCAAGATTTCAGTTTTCCAAAATCCTGAATTGAAGATTTTGGTTCATTTCAAGATGTTAGCTTTCCAAAATCCGGAATTCAAGATTTAAATTGATATCAAGATTTTAGTTTTCAAAAATCCTGAATTCAACATTTTAGCCTATTTCAAGATTTTAGCTTTCCAAAATCCTAAATTGAAGATTTTGACGGATTTCAAGATTTTAGCCCTCCAAAATCCTGAATTCAATATTTTGGGTGGATTTCAACACTTTAGCTTTCCAAAATCCTGAATTCCAGATTTTGGCCGATTTCAAGAATTTTGCTTTCCGAAATCCTGAATCCGAGATTTTGGCCGATTTCCAGATATTGGCCGATTTCAAGGATTTTAGCTTTGAAAAATCCTGAATACAACATTTTTCCGATTTCAAGATTTTTACCTTCCCAAAATCCTGACTTCAAGTTTTTTGCCGATTTGAAGATTTTAGCTTTCCAAAATCCTGAATTCAAGATTTAGGCCGATTTCAAGATTTTAGCCTTCAAAAATCCTGCTTTCAAGATTTTACCTTTCTTTCTTTTTACCGATTTCAAGATTTCACCTTTCCAAAATCCTGAATTCAAGATTTTAGCCGATTTCAAGATTTTAGCTTTCCAAACTCCTTAGTTTAATAATTTGGCCGTTTTTAAGATTTTAGCTTTCCAAAATCCTGAATTCAAGATTTTCGTTGCTTTCAAGGATTTTAGCTTTCCAAAATCCTGATTTCGACCGATTTCAAGGATTTTAGCTTTGCAAAATCCTGAATTCAACATTTTTGCCGATTTCAAGATTATAGCTTTCCAAAATCATGAATTCAAGATTTTCGCCGATTTCAAGATTTTAGCTTTCCGAAATTCTGAATTCAAGACTTTTTGGCGATTCCGAGAATTAAACGTTCCAAAAAACTTGAATTCAAGATTTTGGCCCATTTTAAGATTTTAGCTTTGCATAATTCTGAATTCTAGTTTTTTGCCGATTTCTACATTTTAGCTTTCTAAAATCCTGAATTCAAGATTTTGCCCGATTTCAAGATTTTAGCTCTCCAAAATCCAAAATTCAAGATTTTGCCCGATTTCAAGATTTTATTTTTTGAGAATGCAGAATTCAAGATTTCGCCCTATTTCAAGATTTTAGCTTTCCAAAATCCTGAATTGAAGATTTTTGCCGATTTCAAGATTTTAGCTTTCTAAAATCCTAATTTGAAGATTTAAGCCGATTTCAAGAGTTAACTTTCCAAAATCCTTAATTCAAGAATTTCGCCGATTTCAAGATTTTAGCTTTTTAAAATCCTGAATTAAAGATTTTGTCCGATTCCGAGATTTTAGCTTTCCAAAAATCTTGAATTCAAGATTTTAGCTTTCCAAAATTCTGAATTCAAGATTTTGGCCGATTTCATGATTTTAGCTTGGCAAAATCCTGAATTCAACATTTTGGCCGAATTCAAAGATTTTAGTTTTCAAAATCGTGAATTCAAGATTTTGGCCGAATACAAGATTTTGACCGATATCAAGATTTAAGCTTTCCAAATCCTGAATTTAAGATTTTGACCGATTTGAAGATTTTAGCATTCCAAAATCCTGAATTCAAGATTTTGGCCGATTTCAACCTTTTAGTTTTGGGAGATCCTGATTTTAGCCGATTTCAAGATTTCAGCTTTCCAAAATCGTGAATTTCACATTTTTGCCGATTAAAAGATTTTAGCTTTCCAAAATCCTGAATTCAAGATTTTGGCCGATTTCATGATTTTACCTTCCAAAATCCTGAATTCAAGATTTTGGCCGATTTCAAGATCTTAGATTTCCAAACTCTTGAATTCAAGATTTTGGCCCATTTCAAGATTTTATCTTTCAAATACCTTATTACATGAAATTTTGGCGTCACGTTAATTTAGCGATTTTGAAAAATCCGTATTTAGCGACACTTTAATTTAGCGATTTTTCGTAAATTTTGCAACATAAGTCACTTAATTTTAGCGATTTCANTTTAGCTCTAGAAAATTCTGAATTGAGGATTTTTGAGGATTTCAAGGTTTTTGCTTTCCAAAATCCTGACTTCTAGATTTTTTCCGATTTCAAGATTTTAGCTCTCCAAAATCCTCAATTCAAGATTTCGCCGTATTTCAAGATTTTAGTTTTTCAAAATCCTGAATTTAAGATTTTTGCCGATTTCAAGATTTTAGCTTTCCAAAATCCTGAATTCAAGATTTTGGGCGATTCCGAGATTTTAGCTTTCCAAAAATCTTGAATTCAAGATTTTGGCCCATTTCAAGATTTTAGCTTTCTAAAATCCTAATTTCAAGATTTAGGCCGATTTCAAGAGTTAACTCTCCAAAATCCTGAATTCAAGATTTTCGCGTATTTCAAGATTTTAGCTTTCCAAAATCCTGAATTCAAGATTTTGGCCGAATCCGAGACTTTACGTTTCCAAAAATCTTGAATTCAAGATTTTGGCCCATTTCAAGATTTTAGCTTTCCAAAATTCTGAATTCAAGATTTTGGCCGATTTCATGATTTTAGCTTGGCAAAATCCTGAATTCAACATTTTGGCCGAATTCAAAGATTTTAGTTTTCCAAAATCGTGAATTCAAGATATTGGCCGAATACAAGATTTTGGCCGATTAAAAGATTTTAGCTTTCCAAAATTCGGAATTCAAGATTTTGGCCGATTTTAAGATTTTACCTTCCAAAATCCTGAATTCAAGATTTTGGTCGATTTCAAGATTTCAGCTTTCCAACATCCTGAATTCAAGATTTTGGCCGATTTCAAGATTTTAGCTTTCAAATACTGAATTCAAGAGTTAAGGCGATTTGAAGATTTTACCTTTCCAAAATCCTGAATTCAAGATTTTTTTCCGAATTCAAGATTTTAGTTTTCCAAAATCCTGAATTCAAGATTTTGGCCGATTTCAAGATTTTAGCATTCTAAAATCCTGAATTCGAGATTTCGGTCGATTTCAAGACTTTAGCTTTTGAAAATCCTGAATTTGAAATTTCGGTCGATTGCAAGCTTTTAGTTTTCGAAAATAGTGAATTCAAGATTTCGGTCGAATTAGAGATTTTAGCTTTTTGAAATCCTGAATTCAAGATTCTGCCCTATTTCAAGATTTTAGCTCTAGAAAATTCTGAATTGAGGATTTTTGAGGATTTCAAGGTTTTTGCTTTCCAAAATCCTGACTTCTAGATTTTTTCCGATTTCAAGATTTTAGCTCTCCAAAATCCTCAATTCAAGATTTCGCCGTATTTCAAGATTTTAGTTTTTCAAAATCCTGAATTTAAGATTTTTGCCGATTTCAAGATTTTAGCTTTCCAAAATCCTGAATTCAAGATTTTGGGCGATTCCGAGATTTTAGCTTTCCAAAAATCTTGAATTCAAGATTTTGGCCCATTTCAAGATTTTAGCTTTCTAAAATCCTAATTTCAAGATTTAGGCCGATTTCAAGAGTTAACTCTCCAAAATCCTGAATTCAAGATTTTCGCGTATTTCAAGATTTTAGCTTTCCAAAATCCTGAATTCAAGATTTTGGCCGAATCCGAGACTTTACGTTTCCAAAAATCTTGAATTCAAGATTTTGGCCCATTTCAAGATTTTAGCTTTCCAAAATTCTGAATTCAAGATTTTGGCCGATTTCATGATTTTAGCTTGGCAAAATCCTGAATTCAACATTTTGGCCGAATTCAAAGATTTTAGTTTTCCAAAATCGTGAATTCAAGATATTGGCCGAATACAAGATTTTGGCCGATTAAAAGATTTTAGCTTTCCAAAATTCGGAATTCAAGATTTTGGCCGATTTTAAGATTTTACCTTCCAAAATCCTGAATTCAAGATTTTGGTCGATTTCAAGATTTCAGCTTTCCAACATCCTGAATTCAAGATTTTGGCCGATTTCAAGATTTTAGCTTTCAAATACTGAATTCAAGAGTTAAGGCGATTTGAAGATTTTACCTTTCCAAAATCCTGAATTCAAGATTTTTTTCCGAATTCAAGATTTTAGTTTTCCAAAATCCTGAATTCAAGATTTTGGCCGATTTCAAGATTTTAGCATTCTAAAATCCTGAATTCGAGATTTCGGTCGATTTCAAGACTTTAGCTTTTGAAAATCCTGAATTTGAAATTTCGGTCGATTGCAAGCTTTTAGTTTTCGAAAATAGTGAATTCAAGATTTCGGTCGAATTAGAGATTTTAGCTTTTTGAAATCCTGAATTCAAGATTCTGCCCTATTTCAAGATTTTAGCTCTAGAAAATTCTGAATTGAGGATTTTTGAGGATTTCAAGGTTTTTGCTTTCCAAAATCCTGACTTCTAGATTTTTTCCGATTTCAAGATTTTAGCTCTCCAAAATCCTCAATTCAAGATTTCGCCGTATTTCAAGATTTTAGTTTTTCAAAATCCTGAATTTAAGATTTTTGCCGATTTCAAGATTTTAGCTTTCCAAAATCCTGAATTCAAGATTTTGGGCGATTCCGAGATTTTAGCTTTCCAAAAATCTTGAATTCAAGATTTTGGCCCATTTCAAGATTTTAGCTTTCTAAAATCCTAATTTCAAGATTTAGGCCGATTTCAAGAGTTAACTCTCCAAAATCCTGAATTCAAGATTTTCGCGTATTTCAAGATTTTAGCTTTCCAAAATCCTGAATTCAAGATTTTGGCCGAATCCGAGACTTTACGTTTCCAAAAATCTTGAATTCAAGATTTTGGCCCATTTCAAGATTTTAGCTTTCCAAAATTCTGAATTCAAGATTTTGGCCGATTTCATGATTTTAGCTTGGCAAAATCCTGAATTCAACATTTTGGCCGAATTCAAAGATTTTAGTTTTCCAAAATCGTGAATTCAAGATATTGGCCGAATACAAGATTTTGGCCGATTAAAAGATTTTAGCTTTCCAAAATTCGGAATTCAAGATTTTGGCCGATTTTAAGATTTTACCTTCCAAAATCCTGAATTCAAGATTTTGGTCGATTTCAAGATTTCAGCTTTCCAACATCCTGAATTCAAGATTTTGGCCGATTTCAAGATTTTAGCTTTCAAATACTGAATTCAAGAGTTAAGGCGATTTGAAGATTTTACCTTTCCAAAATCCTGAATTCAAGATTTTTTTCCGAATTCAAGATTTTAGTTTTCCAAAATCCTGAATTCAAGATTTTGGCCGATTTCAAGATTTTAGCATTCTAAAATCCTGAATTCGAGATTTCGGTCGATTTCAAGACTTTAGCTTTTGAAAATCCTGAATTTGAAATTTCGGTCGATTGCAAGCTTTTAGTTTTCGAAAATAGTGAATTCAAGATTTCGGTCGAATTAGAGATTTTAGCTTTTTGAAATCCTGAATTCAAGATTCTGCCCTATTTCAAGATTTTAGCTCTAGAAAATTCTGAATTGAGGATTTTTGAGGATTTCAAGGTTTTTGCTTTCCAAAATCCTGACTTCTAGATTTTTTCCGATTTCAAGATTTTAGCTCTCCAAAATCCTCAATTCAAGATTTCGCCGTATTTCAAGATTTTAGTTTTTCAAAATCCTGAATTTAAGATTTTTGCCGATTTCAAGATTTTAGCTTTCCAAAATCCTGAATTCAAGATTTTGGGCGATTCCGAGATTTTAGCTTTCCAAAAATCTTGAATTCAAGATTTTGGCCCATTTCAAGATTTTAGCTTTCTAAAATCCTAATTTCAAGATTTAGGCCGATTTCAAGAGTTAACTCTCCAAAATCCTGAATTCAAGATTTTCGCGTATTTCAAGATTTTAGCTTTCCAAAATCCTGAATTCAAGATTTTGGCCGAATCCGAGACTTTACGTTTCCAAAAATCTTGAATTCAAGATTTTGGCCCATTTCAAGATTTTAGCTTTCCAAAATTCTGAATTCAAGATTTTGGCCGATTTCATGATTTTAGCTTGGCAAAATCCTGAATTCAACATTTTGGCCGAATTCAAAGATTTTAGTTTTCCAAAATCGTGAATTCAAGATATTGGCCGAATACAAGATTTTGGCCGATTAAAAGATTTTAGCATTCCAAAATTCGGAATTCAAGATTTTGGCCGATTTTAAGATTTTACCTTCCAAAATCCTGAATTCAAGATTTTGGTCGATTTCAAGATTTCAGCTTTCCAACATCCTGAATTCAAGATTTTGGCCGATTTCAAGATTTTAGCTTTCAAATACTGAATTCAAGAGTTAAGGCGATTTGAAGATTTTACCTTTCCAAAATCCTGAATGCAAGATTTTTTTCCAAATTCAAGATTTTAGTTTTCCAAAATCCTGAATTCAAGATTTTGGCCGATTTCAAGATTTTAGCATTCTAAAATCCTGAATTCAAGATTTTGGCCGATTTCAACCTTTTACTTTTGCAGCATCAGGAATTTAAGAATATGGCCGATTTCAAGATTTCAGCTTTCCAAAATCGTGAATTTCACACTTTTGCCGATTTCAAGATTTTAGCTTTCAAATCCTGAATTCAAGATTTTGCCCTGTTTCAAGATTTTAGCTTTCCAAAATCCTGAATTGAGGATTTTTGAGGATTTCAAGGTTTTTGCTTTCCAAAATCCTGAATTCAGATTTTTGCCGATTTCAAGATTTTAGCTTTCCAAAATCCTGAATTCAAGAATTTGGCCCATTACAAGATGTTAGCTTTCAAATACTGAATTCAAGATTTCAGGCGATTTCAAGATTTTAGCTTTCCAAAATCTTGAATTCAAGATTTTTTCCGTTTTTAAGATTTTAGCTTTTCACAATCCTGAATTCAAGATTTTGGCCGATTTCAAAATCTTAGGTTTCCTTAATCTTAAATTCAAGATTTTGGCCGTTTTCAAGATTTTACCTTTCCAAAATCCTGGCATCCAGATTTTCGCCCATTTCAAGATTTTAGTTTTTTAAAATCCTCAACTCAAGATCTTCACCAATTTCAAGATTTTAGCTTTCCAAAATCCTAAATTCAAGATTTTGGCCGGTTTCAAGTTTTCAGCTTTCCAAAACCCTGAAATCCAGATTTTCGCCGATTTCAACATTTTAGCTTTTTAATATCCTCAATTCAAGATCTTGACCGTTTTCTAGATTTTAGCTTTCTAAAATTCTGAATTCAAAATTTTGGCGGATTTCAAGATTTTAGCTATCCAAAATCCTGATTTCAAGATTTTTGCCGATTTCAAGATTTTAGCTTTCCAAAATCCTGAATTCAAGAATTTGGCCCATTACAAGATGTTATCTTTCAAATACTGAATTCAAGATTTCAGGCGATTTCAAGATTTTAGCTTTCCAAAATCTTGAATTCAAGATTTTTTCCGTTTTTAAGATTTTAGTTTTTCACAATCCTAAATTCAAGATTTTGGCCGAGTTCAAAATTTTAGGTTTCCTTAATCCTAAATTCAAGATTTTGGCCGTTTTCAAGATTTTAGGTTTCCAAAATCCTGAAATCCAGATTTTCGCCCATTTCAAGATTTAAGTTTTTTTAAAATCCTCAACTCAAGATCTTCACCAATTTCAAGATTTTAGCTTTCCAAAATCCTAAGTTCACGATTGTGGCCGATTTCAAGATTTTGACCAATTTCAAGATCTTAGCTTTCCAAAATCATGAATAGAAGATTTCGGACGATTTCAAGCTTTTGGCTTTTTAAAATTCTGAATTTACGATTCTGGCTGATTTCTAGATTTTAGCTTTCCAAAATCCTGAATTCAAGAGTTTGGCCGATTTCAAGATTTTAGCTATCTAAAACCCTGAATTCAAGATTTTCGCCGATTTAAAGATTTTAGTATTTTAAAATCCTCAATTTAAGATCTTGACCCATTTCAAGATTTTAGCTTTCCACAATCCTAAGTTCACGATTCTGGCCGATTTCAAGATTTTAGGTTTCCAAAATCCTGCATTCAAGATTTTGCGGATTATAAGATTTTAGCTTTCCAAAATCCTGAATTCAAGATTTTGCTGATTTCAAGATTTTAGCTTTCCAAAAGCCTGAATTTAAGATTGTGGTCGATTTCAGGATTGTAGCTTTCCAAAATCATGAATTCAAGATTTTGGCTGATCTCTAGATTTTAGCTTGTTTTAAGATTAATGCTTTCCAAAATCCTGAATTCAATATTCTGGCCGATTTCAAGCTTTTAGCTTTTCAATATCCTGATTTCAAGATTTTGACCGATTTCCAGATGTTAGCTTTCCAAAATCCTAAATACAAGATTTCGGACGATTTCAAGCTTTTACCTTTCCAAAATCCTGAATTCACGATTCTGGCCGATTTCAAGATTTTAGCTTTCCAAACCGGAATTCAAGAATTTAGCCGGTTTCAAGTTTTCAGCTTTCCAAAACCCTGAAATCAAGAGTTTGACCAATTTCAAGATTTTAGCTTTCCAAAATCCTGAATTCAAGATTTCGGACGATTTCAAGATTTTAGCGTTAGAAAATCCTAAATTCAAGATTTTGGCCGATTTCAAGATTTTAGCTTAAGAAAATCCTAAATTCAAGATTTTGGCCGATTTCAAGATTTTAGCTTTGCGGAATCCTGAATTGAAGATTTTGGCTGATTTCAAGATTTTAGCTTTCCAAATTCCTGAATTCAAGATTTTGGCCGATTTCAAGATTTTGGTCAATTTTAAGATTTTGGCTTTCCAAAATCCTGAGTTCAAGATTTTGCCCGATTTCAAGATTTAGTCTTTCCAAAATCCTGAATTCAAGATTTCGGCCGATTTCAAGTTTTTACCTTTCCAAAATCGTTAATTCAAGATTTTGGCCGACTTCAAGATCTTAGCTTTCCAAAATGCTGAATTCAAGATTTTGGCCGATTTTGAGATTTTAGCTTTCCAAAATCCAGAATTCAATACTTTGGCCCACCTAAAGATTTTAGCTTTATTAAATCCAGAATTCTAGATTTTGGCCGATTTCAAGATTTCAGTTTTCCAAAATCCAGAATTCAAGATTTTGACCGATATCAAGATTTAAGCTTTCCAGAAACTTGAATTCAAGATTTTGGCCGATTTCAAGATTTTAGCTTTCCAAAATCCTAAATTTAAGATTTTGGCCGATTAAAAGATTTTAGCTTTCCATAATCCTGAATTCAAGATTTTCGCCGATTTCAAGATTTTAGCTTTCCAAAATCCTGAATTGAAGATTTTGGCCGATTCCGAGACTTTAGCTTTTCAAAAATCCTGAATTCAAGATTTTGGCCGATTCCGAGACTTTAGCTTTTCAAAAATCCTGAATTCAAGATTTTGGCCGATTTAAAGATTTCAGCTTTCCAACATCCTGAATTCAAGATTTTGGCCGATTTCAAGATTTTAGCTTTCCAAAATCCTGAATTCAAGAGTTTGGCCGATTTCAAGATTTTAGCTATCTAAAACCCTGAATTCAAGATTTTCGCCGAATTAAAGATTTTAGTTTTTTAAAATCCTCAATTTAAGATCTTGACCTATTTCAAGATTTTAGCTTTCCACAATCCTAAGTTCACGATTCTAGCCGATTTCAAGATTTTAGCTTTCCAAAATCCTGAATTTAAGATTTTGGCCAATAATAAGATTGTAGCTTTCCAAAATCATGAATTCAAGATTTTGGCTGATCTCTAGATTTTAGCTTGTTTTAAGATTAATGCTTTCCAAAATCCTGAATTCAATATTCTGGCCGATTTCAAGCTTTTAGTTTTTTAATATCCTCATTTCAAGATTTTGACCGATTTCCAGATGTTAGCTTTCCAGAATCCTGAATATAAGATTTCGGACGATTTCAAGCTTTTACCTTTCCAAAATCCTGAATTCACGATTCTGGCCGATTTCAAGATTTTAGCTTTCCAAACCCGAATTCAAGAATTTAGCCGATTTTAAGATTTTAGCTTTCCTAAATTCTGAATTCAATCGTTTGACCAATTTCAAGATTTTAGCTTTCCAAAATCCTGAATTCAAGATTTCGAACGATTTCAAGATTTTAGCTTTAGAAAATCCTGAATTCAAGATTTTGGCCGATTTCAAGATTTTAGCTTTAGAAAATCCTAAATTCAAGATTTTGGCCGATTTCAAGATTTTAGCTTTCCAAAATCCTAAATTTAAGATTTTGGCCGATTAAAAGATTTTAGCTTTCCATAATCCTGAATTCAAGATACTGGCCGATTGCAAGATTTTAGCTTTGCAAAATCTTGAATTCAAGATTTTGGCCCATTTCAAGATTTTGGCCGATTTCAAGATTTTAGCATTCCAAAATCCTGAATTCAAGATTTTGGCCGATTTCAACCTTTTCGTTTTGCAACATCCTGAATTCAAGATTTTGGTCGATTTGAAGATTTTAGCTTTCCAAAATCCTGAATTCATGATTTTGGCCAATTTCAAGATTTTTGCTTTCCAAAATCCGGAATTCAAGATTTTTGTCCATTTCAAGATTTTAGCTTACTAAAATGCTGAATTCAACATTTTCGCCGATTTCTAGATTTTACCTTTCCAAAATCCAGAATTAAAGATGTTAACTTTCCAAAATCCTGAATTCAAGATTTTGGCCGATTTCAAGATTTTAGCTTTGCGGAATCCTGAATTGAAGATTTTGGCTGATTTCAAGATTTTAGCTTTCCAAAATCCTGAATTCAAGATTTCGGACGATTTCAAGATTTTAGCTTTAGAAAATCCTAAATTCAAGATTTTGGCCGATTTCAAGATTTTAGCTTAAGAAAATCCTAAAGTCAAGATTTTGGCCGATTTCAAGATTTTAGCTTTGCGGAATCCTGAATTGAAGATTTTGGCTGATTTCAAGTTTTTACCTTTCCAAAATCGTTAATTCAAGATTTTGGCCGACTTCAAGATCTCAGCTTTCCAAAATGCTGAATTCAAGATTTTGGCCGATTTTGAGATTTTAGCTTTCCAAAATCCAGAATTCAATACTTTGGCCCATCTAAAGATTTTAGCCTTATTAAATCCAGAATTCTAGATTTTGGCCGATTTCAAGATTTCAGATTTCCAAAATCCAGAATTCAAGATTTTGACCGATATCAAGATTTAAGCTTTCCAAAAACTTGAATTCAAGATTTTGGCCGATTTCAACATTTTAGTTTTGAGCCATCCTGAATTCCAGATTTTGGCCGATTTCAAGATTTTAGCTTTAAAATACTGAATTCAAGATTTTGGTCGTTTTCAAGATTTTAGCTTTCCAAAATCCTGAATTCAAGATTTCGGTCGATTTTAAGATTTTAGCTTTGCAGAATCCTGAATTCAAGATTTTGCCCTATTTCAAGATTTTAGCTTTCCAAAAATCCTGAATTCAAGGTTTTGGCCGATTTCAAGATTTCAGCTTTCTAAAATCCTAAATTCAAGATTTAGGCCGATTTTAAGAGTTAACTTTCCAAAATCCTGAATTCAAGATTTTGGCCATTTTTAAGATATTAGCTTTGCAGAATACTGAATTAAAGATTTTGGCCGATTTCAAGATTTTAGCTTTTTAAAATCCGGAATTCAAGACTTTTTCAACATTTTAGTTTTCCAAAATCCTAAATTCAAGATTTTCGCCGATTTCAAGAGCTTACTTTCCAATATCCTGAATTCAAAATTTTGTGCGATTTCAAGATTTTAGCTTTCCAAGATTCTGAATTCAAGATTTAAGCCGATTTCAAGATTTTAGCTTTCCAAAATCCGGAATTTAAGATTTTGGCCGATTTCAAGATTTTTGTTTTCCAAAATTTGTGAATTTAAGATTTTAGTTTATTTCAAGATTTTCATCGATATCAAGATTTAAGCTTTCCAAATCCTGGATTCAAGATTTTGGCCGATTTCAAGATTTTAGCTTTCGAAAATCCTGAATTTAACATTTTGGCCGACTTCAAGATTTTTGCTTTCCAAAATTCTGAATTCAAGATTTTGGCCGATTTCAAGATTTTAGCTTTAAAAAATCCTTAATTCAAGATTTTCGCCGATTTCAAGATTTTAGCTTTACAAAATCCTGACTTCAAGATTTTATCCGATTTCAAGATTTTAGCTTTCCAAAATCCTGAATACTAGAGTTTGGCCGATTTGATGATTTTAGCTTTCCAAAATCCAGAATTCAAGATTTTTTCTGATTTTAAGATTTTAGCTTTCCAAATCCTGAATTCAAGATTTTGGCCGATTTCAAGATTTTAGCTTTCGAAAATACTGAATTCAAGATTTCGGTCGATTTCAAGATTTTAGCTTTCGACAATCCTGAATTCAAGATTTTGGCCGCTTTCAATATTTTAGCTTTCGACAATCCTGAATTCAAGATTTTGGCCGATTTCAAGATTTTAGCTTTCAAATACTGAATTCAAGATTTTGGTCGATTTGAAGATTTTAGCTTTCCAAAATCCTGAATTGAAGATTTTGGCCGATTTTAAGAGTTTACTTTCCAAAATCCTGAATTCAAGATTTTGTCCCATTTCAGGAATTTAGGTTTCGCAAATTCTGAATTCAAGATTTAAGCCGATATCAAGATTTCAGCTTTCCAAAATCCTAAATTCAAGATTTTGGCCGATTTCGAGATTTTAGCTTTCCAAAATCCTAAATTCTAGTCTGCGCAACTGTGGTTTTTCTTGAAATTGGTGACTTTTGTTAAAAAGCTAAACCTTGTTCAAAACACCCTGCGCAACTGTTCTGTCGCTCAAAATTGGCGTCAAAACACTCATGGCGGTTAACGTTTTCCTTGAAATTGGGCACTTTTGTTAAAAAGCTAAAGCTTGTCCAAAAGATCGTGTGCAACTTTCCAGTTGGTTTATATTGGCGTCAAAACACTCTGCGCAACTTTCGTTTTGCTTGAAATTAGCGACTTTGTTAAATAGCTAAAACTTCTCCAAAACACCGTGCGCAACTGTCGTGTTGCTTGAAAAGGGGGTCTAAAGACTCTGCGCAACTAACGTTTTGCTTGAAATTGGCGACTTTTGTTAAAAAGCTAAAACTTGTCCAAAACACCGTGCGCAACTGTCGTGTTGCTTGAAAAGGGGGTCTAAACACTCTGCGCAACTAACGTTTTGCTTGAAATTGGCGACTTTTGTTAAAAAGCTAAAATTTGTCCAAAACATCGCGCGCAACAGTGCTGTTGCTTGAAATTGGCCGTTTCGCTTTGTAACAAAAAAAGCCAATTTCGAACAAAAAAGACAGTTGCGCAGAGTGTTTTGACGCCAATTTCGAGCAACAGGACAGTTGCGCAGGGTTTTTCACACAAGCTTTACCTTCCGAACAATACGGGCCAATTTGAAGCAAAACGACAGTTGCGCAGAGTGATTTGAGGCCAATTTCGAGCAACAGCACGGTTGCGCACGCTGCTTTTTACAAGTTTTATCTAAAACAGCAAATCGAATTTCTTGGATATTATTGACCACACACACTCATTTTGGTAAATTGACAGTTGCGAGCCCTCTTTCCCACAAGCTTTAAGTCAAACGGTGTGAATATTTTTTCAGGTTTTTGTTTTCTTCTTGTTTTTTATTAAAGATTTATGTTTTCCTCCTGTTGTTATCGAAAGGAGCACATTTTAAGCAAAACCAAAGTTGCGCATAGCGTTTTGATGCCAATTTCCCACAGGCTTTATGTCAAACGGCAAATTTCAAGCAACAGCACTGTTGCGCACGGTGTTTTGGACAAATTTTAGCTTCTTAAAAAAAGTCGCCAATTCCAAGCAAAACGTTAGTTGCGCAGAGTGTTTAGACCCCAATTTCAAGCAACACGACAGTTGCGCACGGTGTTTTGGACAAGTTTTCGCTTTTTAACAATAGTCGCAAACTTCAAGCAAAACGACAGTTGCGCAGAGTGTTTTGACGCCAATTTCAAGCAACAGGACAGTTGCGCACGGTGTTTTAAACAAGTTTTAGCTATTTAACAAAGTCGCAAGTTTCAAGCAAAACGACAGTTGCGCAGAGTGTTTTGACGCCAATTTCAATAACCTGGACGGTTGCGCACGGTGTTTTGGACAAGCTTTAGCTTTTTAACAAACGTCGCCAATTTCAAGCAAAACATAAGTTGCGCAGAGTGTTTTGACGCCAATTTCGAGCAACAGGAGTGTTGCGCAGGGTGTTTTGGACAAGTTTTAGCTTTTCAACAAAAGTTGCCAATTTCGAACAAAAAGACAGTTGCGCAGAGTGTTTTGACGCCAATTTAGGGAAACAGGACAGTTGCGCACGGTGTTTCACACAAGCTTGACGTTCCGAACAATACGGGCCAATTTGAAGCTAAACAACAGTTGCCCAGAGTGATTTGAGGCCAATTTCGAGCAACAGTACGATTGCGCACGTTCCTTTTTACAAGTTTTATCTAAAACAGCAAATCGAATTTCTTGGATATTATTGACCACACAAACCAATTTAGGTAAATTGAAAATTGCGAGCCCTCTTTCCCACAAGCTTTAGGTCAAACGGTGAAAATATTTTGACAGGTTGCTGTTTTCTTCTCGTTTTTTATTCAAGATTAATGTTTTCCTTTTGTTGTTACCCAAAGGAGCACAGTTTAAGCAAAACCAAAGTTGCGCATAGCGTTTCGATGCCAATTTCCCACAGGCCTTCGGTCAAACGGCCAATTTCAAGCAACAGGACAGTTGCTTCACGGTGTTTTGGACAAGTTTTAGCTATTTAACAAAAGTCGCCAATTTCAAGCAAATCGACAGTTGCGCAGAGTGTTTTGGCGGTGTTTTGGACAAACTTTAGCTTTTTAACAATAGTCGCAAACTTCTAGAAAAACGACAGTTGCGCAGAGTGTTTGACGCCAATTTCGAGCAACAGGACAATTGCCCACGGTAATTCACACAAGCTTTACCTTCCGAACAATATGGGCCAATTTGAAGCAAAACGACAAATGCGCAGAGTCTTTTGACACCAATTGCGAGCAACAGAAGTGTTGCGCATGGTGTTTAGGACAAGATGTAACTTTTTAAATAAAGTGGCTAATTTCGAACAAAAAGACTGTTGCGCAGAGTGTTTTGACGCCAATTTCGAGCAAGAGGACAAATGCACAAGGGTGTTTTGGACAAGTTTAGGCTATTGGCGTTAAAACACTGTGCGCAAATGTCGTTGTGCTTGAAATTGGTGACTTTTGTTAAAAAGCTA